GCCCCGAAATGTTTCCCGCACTGGCTGCACATCAACATGGAAAGGCGCAATAGCACTTTACGGGCTTGCCAGGGGAAGCTTCTAAACTAGCCCAGGAACCTCCAAATCCAAGAGGAGGAGCTGCTGGTGTGTGGCCTCCATGAACAGGAGAGGGGCCGGGAACCGGAGTTTTGGCCGCTGGCAACTCATCTAGGGCAACTTTTGGTGTGTGTGTGTGGAAGGCTCCATTTCTCTGAACGACTATGGAGGAGTGGAGGCAGTGTGGCCGCTGGCTGATCGACTGTAAAGTTTTGCCCCTGAACCACAGGGTGGTCTGGCCCTCCGCTGTTGTGTTTGACCTGGCTCAGGCTTTGAGAGATGGAGTCTTGCTCTGCCAGCTGCTTCATAACCTGTCACCTGGATCGATTGATCTCAAGGACATCAATTTCCGGCCACAGATGTCACAGGTAAAACGAGACTGGGATGCAGACAGTAGGTGAAGTAAACCGTGTATATTAGACACCCAGAAAATACTCCACGTGGGGATGATTAGCATTCACACCCTTAATGGGGCATCATCCGCTTGAATCGAGTCAGTTTTTTTAAAACTGCTTTAAAAGTAGCTTCAGGTCCTAGATCTGCCCTTGAGTCCGTCCCTACCTCTAGCTAACTGGTGTGGCTCCAGAATCACATTTTTTTCTGTTTTTTAAAAGTATCTGCTTGGCTAGAATTCTACAAAGCTCTGTTGAATTCTATTTTAACCATAGCATGATAGCATAGCTTCCTCCCCCAGTTGGCAGAGCGATCTGATGCTGGGTCCTTACTCCTGTGCCAATGGGGATGGGGTCCCTCCCTGGCTCAGGCATGTGTTAGCAGATTACATAGTAGGACTGGGGCCAGAGGGTGTCATAACCCTCTATGATCCTTTTTAAGGCTCATCTGTTAAAGGGGCTCTGTCAAGTAGTTATAGATCAAATTCCCCAATCAGATCTGCATGGGTGTACCCAGCTTTCCCCCCAGAGATGCCACTGGGCTTGTGCACAGGTGCAGTGGTCCTGCTGCACGGCAAGATTGGATCTTAAGGTTTTTGAACTTTAAAAAAAAAATGATCAGAACCAGAAATGTTTCCAAATTCTCTTTATTTTACTGAAAAGTGTTTTTGTTTTAGAAACATTCCCTTTAGGTTTTTACAATCCAAGCATGTGTGGTATTTGCTCTAGAAGTGCATGGGAAACCAGAGAATGAAATTGACTAGAAATACAAATGAAGCTGGTTCTTCTGTCTCTGCTGTCCACACTGAGCTAACTCTGGACATAAACAAGTAGCCTATATGTAGATGAGTGGATATTAAACATGTGGCCTGTTCTAATAACCTCAGGTTTTATTGCTAACAAAGGCAAGGGAATGTTATTGGTAGCAAGGGTATCCGGGTGTAATATTTTTCCAAACATAAATTCAACCTGACAACTCTCAAAGATAAATAGCAGGTCATCTCGAGTCCGAGTCCTAAACTTCAACCATCCTCTCTATCCTAGGACTGCCTTTGCTTTTGTTCCATGAGTGGGTTTTGCTATGTTTTCTAGTAATGTTTTCAGCTGTTGTGACGTCTTGCTTATAGTAACTTGTATGTTTTAAGGAAATACTGAAAAACTATGGATTGCACTGTACACTTGCTGCATCCAAAAAAGAGAGTGAGAACTCTTTTCTCCGACACTTTCAATCAAAAGTCAAGGACTTGGTGTTTGAGTACAAACTTATTTCCAATTCTGCAAAGATTTAAGCACGTGCTTAACTTTACACATTAGTAGTCCTGTTTATGCAGACGAATAGTCCCATTCAGTTAAAGCTGACCACCTATGTAAGTCTTTCCTTAGG